TTTAAACTCTTACAACTATTAAAATATTCAAAATCCTAAACCTCTAAAATATATATATATATATATATATATAAATCTTTCGAATCCTCTTCTTGTTGCCACACCGTAAAATGCAAGTTCTTGTCCTATTATTTATATTTCACGTTCTCTTTAAGTCACGATCTTCACAAGTCATGATCTTTACAAGTCACGATCTTTACAAGTCATGATCTTTACAAGTCACGATCTTTACAAGTCCCCCCACAAGAAGCACATTCGTCACCGTAGAGACAATGTTGCTCAGAGTTCATTGAGAGAGAAAGAGTTAACAGCTAACCTTGACAAAGCATCAGCATTCCCATGTGAACTTCCTTTGCGGTATGTCACAGTCATGTTATACCGTTGTAACGCTAAGGCCCAACGAGACAGTTTAGCACCATGAGGGGCGCTTTGGGTCAAGTAGGTGAGGGGATTGTGATCAGACACAATCTGCACTTTGGCACCGAAAATCCATGTGTCAAATTTTTTCAAGGCTTCGATGACACCAAATGCTTCTCGTTCGATGGTTGACCATCGTTGTTGACAGGTCGTTAATTTCTTGCTGAAAAATGCTATGGGCATTTCTTTTGTAAATGGCTTATGTTCATTATCATTCTCACCTATGGTAGGCAATCCTAGTAGCTGTTGTTCCTTATCATCTTTCCTCTCTTCTATCTTTCCAATGGCTTTGTCAAGTAGCTTATACCATTTATCAATTGTTTCAGCTTTATCAATTTCTTCAAATATGGGATTTCTGTGCTTGGTGAAAGTCCTATAAACTAAAAAAATCTCAGCAATTTTTTCTTCTGCTTTTTCTAATAATTCTTCATCAACATGATGTAGATCGTCTACCTCGGACTCGGGCTCTTCTATTAATTCAGCAATTCCTTCCGTTTCTTTCTCGTCTTCCAGTTCTTCGCTTTCATCCGAATAACTTTCTGTTCAATCTTCCATGTTTTCACCCTTGAACTTGAAAGGTTTCTGTGGTTTTCAGTTTCATTGTGGATGACATTTTCCTTTTCAGTTTCAACTTTTGTTGTATAATCCACACTTTCTTTTTCATCTTCCAGTTCAACAGTATCTATGCTGTCCTTATTGTACTTTTTGTTTCTGTTATCATCCAGAATTTCTTTTTCAGTAAATTGTAATAATTCACTGTTATCTGCAAGTTTATTTTCAGTTTCAAGATCTGCAGCTTCTGTGTGATTTACATTTTCATTTTCAGTTACTAAGTCGGCTTTCACACTTTCCTTATGGATTATTAAGTCATTCTTTTTATCATCTACTTTTTCCTTCTCGTTTCCAATTTCAGCAATATATTCTTTCTCTTCTATGTTCTCATAATCAAGATTTACTTGAGTTTTATTGTCATCTGCAATTATTTCTTTTTCAGCTGCAGTTTCAGCATCATCTGTATTTTCTGTTTTGGTTACTGGCTTCACTTGAGTTTCACTTTCATTGACAGTTTCTTTTTCAACTCGGATTTCAGTCTCACCCATAAATTCGTTTTTACTTTCAGGTGGAATAATTTCTACATCTGTTATTTTGCTGTCAATTAACTTTTCCTCTTTGAGTTCATCTTCTGTTTCTACCCTCTTAGTTTCTCCTGTTATAATTTCTTCCTTCGGTGCTTCCTGTTCAACAATTTTATCTTCTATCATTTCTGTTTTCTCCATTTCTGTAAAGGGCAGTTCTTTACAATTTCCACAGAATTTTTTAACATCTTGCTTAATAGTAGGCCAAAAGAATGAGTACTTGATTCGTTGAATTGTCTTTTTCTCACCGAGGTGGCCGGCAAGAGGGATTTCGTGTGCCATTCTTAGGACTTCCCTTCTTTTTTCTAAAGGGAACACAACTTGCTTAATGTTTTCACCACAGATATATTCGGAATGAAGTAATATGCCATCATCGAAAGTATATGAATTTTGATTTTTATTTGCCCATTCAAAGCATTTTTTCAGAGTTTCGTCTTGTTCTTGATGTGTCTTGAATTCTAGTCTTACTCTATTCGTTGTTTTCCCAGACTCTATGTTTTCTTGGGAAAGCTGATTAACAACAGCCAAATTTGTAGTATTTTCTTCAACTGGTAACGGTTTATCATCTGTCTCTTTGTACTCTAAGGGGGATGCATCCCAATAACGATCACAGTTAAACAGTTCGATATTCCCACAGAGTGTTTCATAAGCTGAAGAACTCAATAACAAATCGGTAACTAGATTTTTTGAAACAGCACACGTAATGGACACTCTACCGTGAAAATCATCGTCAATTTTCATCTGGAAAATCTTTAGTGGAGTAATTTCGTTTTCACCAAAAGCAGAAGATATCTCTATTTTACTTTCTCCTTCGCAAGGTATGTTGTCAACCAATTTCTCACGGACTACTGAAATTTGTGCTCCCGTGTCTACGATTCCATTTAGAATAATATCTCCACATTTAACGTTAACCAGTTTTAATTCATCTATGTTTCTAGATACGTCCACTGATTTTGAGACAGGAATAGAGATCTTGGCAGTTAGCACTTCTGGTTTTTCTTTTTCTGTAAGGGGTGCTTGTGCTTGTATTAAGTTGTTTTGTGCTGTTGCAGAAGCACTTCTTGGTATACGATTTTTGGTACATAACTTAGATGTATGACCTTCTTTTCCACAATTATAGCAAGTTAATTTGAAATTAGTCTTGTGGTTCGTCACTCTTACGGGATGGGTACACTCTTGGCGTGTTTTCAGCGTACAGCGATTTATTTCTGAAAGCTCTTTCTGGAAGTGGAGAATGAGGTTGCCATTTTTTATTAGTTCTGTCTGCTGATGGATTACCACCAGTCCGTTTTGAGATATTACGAACACTGTCATATTCGTCAAGTTTATCAGCTAATTTGGTTGGAGAAACGAACTTCGCCCAGTCGTCAAGAAGATGGTCTCTTACTTCATAGGGTACTCTTTTCTTAATTTGGTCAGTAATAATCAAGTCTTTTAACGCGGCAAAATTTGTGATTTCAAGACCATTGATCCATTCTTCAAAATAACTTGTAATTTCGTAGCAAAAATCTCTCCATGATTTTTCAGCGCTCTTTTGGTGCATCACAAATTTTTTCTAAAGCTTTCAGGATTTAATTTAAATCTCTTCAATAAAATGGCCTTAATGTACTCATAATATCCAAATTTTCTTCAGATTCCCTACCAATTAGTTGAATGATTCCATATGGCATTAAAGTCAATAAACATGAAACCCAATCTTTAGGATCAATCTTTGTCCTTTTAGCTTGTCTTTCAAATAGGGATAAATAAATCACAATATCATCGTGTCTTAAATTGAATTTGGGAATAAGCTTAATTAAATCAAAATTATGATGTCCATTTTCATTTGTTGGTGGAGTTTGTGTTAGTCGAACACGAGATTCAATTTCGAGTTTCCTCAATTCAAACTCCATTTGCTCTCTTTTCTGCTGCGCTTCTAATTCTTCTTTCCTTCGCTGTTCCTCAATCTCTTGTTTCTCCTTTCTTCGCTGTTCCTCTTCTTTTCTTTTCCTCTCTTCAATAATCGTTAAAAATACTTCTTTAGCAAATGCTTCATCATATGTATCACTTTGAATTACTTCATTTTTTATCGCCACGATTTTCATACTTGGATCTACTTGAATTTCTAATTCAGCAGCTAAAGCCAGCAAATCCTCTTTTTCCCCACGTCCCATAAAAGCCATGTCTCGATTTTATTCAGTCAATAGACTCTTAGTTTTATGAAAAGCAATTTTTTTTCTCTTTTCTTTTTCTATTTAAATATAATTCACAATGAATTTAATTTTATTCGGCACGAAAATCAATCAGTAGAATCAATACTTAATGTGTTGTTCACCTACTCTGGCGAGTCAAACGAAATTACATTTGAACACTGGCGTATTCATTACTTTGACAAGTAAATAAACTAAGATTCCATGACGGAAACAATAATTAACTTTTCATAATCTTAATTAATTATTTTACGTTTACAAGGTAAATTGAGCTCTCACCTGAGTTACTTTGGTTCGTAATTATATGCGGGGAAATCCCGATCCTGTCGACTGCGCCAGTAAAGATCCTTTCCTTATTTCAATATAATTAATATTGAATCTTGTAGGAAGAATAAAGCTAATTTTTCAGAATAAACAAAATACTTTTATTTAAATTTTAAAACAGAACCAAAAAAAAAAAATAATACTGCAGCTCTAAACTATCAAAATTTTAAACTCTTAACTACTGCAGTTAAAACTCTTACAACTATTAAAATATTCAAAATCCTAAACCTCTAAAAAATATATATATATATATATAAATCTTTCGAATCCTCTTCTTGTTGCCACACCGTAAAATGCAAGTTCTTGTCCTATTATTTATATTTCACGTTCTCTTTAAGTCACGATCTTCACAAGTCATGATCTTTACAAGTCACGATCTTTACAGTATGCAATGCATTGCAGGACTTCAATCATCTTCTAAGTTTTTGAACAACAAACAGGCAGCCGTTAAAATACAATGGCACTTTCATGAAACTCTTTATGCAATTCTGTATTTTAATAAAAATATTGAAAAGTAAATGCAGATACTTCTTGTTTTTTATTGTCGTTAAAATGCTCTGTTTAATCAATCTTTCATTTTTCAAAACACTAAAATTAATAAATTTCCATACATTTTTGGGGAACTGTTACTTGATGCTTTACTTTATAAATCTCAAATTTTAAAACATTTTAGATGAACCGTATTATCAAGAAGGAAAATGCAGTGCAGCAGAAAGTCTTTTCTATTGCATTAACGTGAAAACAAAACATAAAATTCTACATAACGCGTATATTTTTGTTTATATAAACATTTCTACACAGAACTATATTTCTACACAAAAACTTCGTTTATGGAACTTATTGTTCAGTCATACACACCTCAGAAATTAATTTTGTAAAAATGTTGGTTTTTTCTTTTATCAAAGAACGTTCAACTCTAACTTAAAGGTCCTACCTTCTTAAGTGATGTTCTGATTGCACTCATTCCACCCATGCTATGGCCGATTAAAATAGCTTTGGGAATATTCATCTTATCCATAAAATCCACCAAGTCATCCGAATTGAGATCGAAAGTGAATTCATTCGACCAATCGCTGTCCCAGTGGTTTCGAGCATCCAGAACATAGACCTAAATAAATATTAATATAATTTCATTATCTGTTGGATTTCGAGATGGAATAAATATTAGTTAAGAATCAGATTGCTAGTTTGAGAATTTGTTTCCAGCAAATTTAGAAGTAATATAATTGCAGAATAATCTACAAAGTATTTCATAACTAATGAAACAAACTTTGAAGAACAATAGAATGCGCAAAAACAAACAGTTTTCACCGAAGAATGCATTGCCAGACATTAAAAGATTAGATGCTGATAGCGCTTTCCTTTAGTCTACACATAAATCCTATTGCAACGCGCACAACTACTAAGGCAGATGGGGATGTCCGCCACTTCTTTACTCGTACATCGATTCACTCAAATTTCTAATGCATGACGATTTACCCACGAATATCGCGCACAGCATGAGGAATCCAACGTAGTGGAAATTAGATTATTGAAAATACATGATGTAATTAAATCTGGACCTGAGGGTCTTTCTGAGGCAATGACGGAGGTTGAGGGTAAAGAAGCGAGACCACTGTTTATTAGACGAAAGTTATTGGATATTTTGAGAGAACTCCAGAGCAAGCTAACTAGAACTTTCCTACTAAATCTAGTAATGCGTTTTACAAGTTTTTAATGTTTATGCAATTGCCTTCACATATATTGTTTTCTTATTTCTGAGTAATAACAATAAAAATTAACTTGTCGCGTTTGCAACTACTTTGCAAGAGCAATGGCTCTCGCTTCCTATGGAACTGATAGACCGCATAATTGAAAGCATCACATTGGACATATGAATTTATATTTCCTCTTATGTGCAACAGAAGATTCTATTTAATACGCGAAACCAGTTTTAACCCCTCTGCGAAGTATGTTATTCAAAAGACATATTCTTTTCTTAACGTTCGACCTACTAAAAGTAGTAATCCTAAATTCAGATAATTTTATCTCGATATATAATAATAATTTGTGTAAGAAGCGTATTAAATAAATGAAATGTCTACATGTAAATAAAACTTAAATAACTGAAACTGTAAGCCCTATTAAGGCGATTAAGGTGAAGTATTATTATGGAGAAAATTCAACGGCATCGTTTTGAATGGAGAAAATTAGTTTATGCCGTTTCTAAATTTAAAAAAAATATTAAATTCATTTAATTAAATAATGATAATGAAAATTTCGTATGGAGATTAGTATAAACAAATAAATCCGAATAAAGAGTGTGCTTAACTTAAAACAAAACCGAACAGCCCTTTGGAGCTTTGAAATAAATACAACACTTAAATGGATTAACACGACGCTATATATTTTCTCTCTTAAATAGCAAAAAAGAAATAATAAAATAATAATAATAATAATAATAATAATAATAATAATAATAATAATAATAATAATATATAATATAATAATTTTTACGATATCGACATAATTTTAAAGGAAAACATAAGTACGAATTACCTGGTACAAAATGTACAAACTCATAGACCTTAGAGTGATGGGATTCCATGCAAGAAAGTCCTTGATCGCAGACAATCCTTACTGTTACATGTAACCCAGAGCGGGTATGCGGATCTTGATCCCAAGGAATAGAGTGAATTTTTGCATTAACTTTGGAAATTCATGCCTAGTATTGTAGAGCGGAATGGTCTACAATGAGAGGCAAAAGGACTTCTTCTCCAGAGTTCCATTCGGTCAGAAATTGAAATTAATCGTCTTACGTTGAGGAAAGATTAGATATATCCCGAAAGATATTGTTAATTCGAAACGCGATGTGAGTAAAACCTTTTTCCCCCGCACCCAAATACACAAGCTCTCATCATTTCATCTCAAGACCGTTGGGTTACAGCCGTAGACATCGCGGCAAAAACATGGCGGACGAAAACGTCGCGGAGAAAACAACGCAAGGCGAAAACGTAGTGCTACAAAACATCGTGGGAGAAAACATCGCCGTTCTAAAACATCGTCGTACAAAATATCGTCGTCGAAAATAAAGCGGTTCAAAAACTTCGCAGTTTGAAAACATCGTCATCGAAAATATCGTGGTAAAAAATAAAGTATCTACAAATCATCGCATGACGATAACATCGCAGACACGCTTTTTTCAGGCTTTAATAACTGTAAATTGATATTCCCGTAATGATTTGTGAGCGCAAGATGGAAAGAAGGATAATTTTTAATTTCATATTTTTATTAACTAATAAATTTTTTCTGAAAAAGTAGAAGGAGACTTAAGCATAGAAAATTGATGCAACTTATAGCACTTAATAGAATTTTAAACCGACATAGTTAACTAACAAATCATTAATAAATCATTTTTATAAAGTTTTTACTGGTAATTTTTCATGAAAAGTATTATCTAAAAAAGCTTAGAAAAAGGAAGGTAAGTAATTGCATGACCTTATTTATAAAAAAATTGCTAAGTTAATTTTGAGATTATTTTTAACACTTTTGTTAGTCTAATACTCTTATAGCGAAAACTATTTCTTGTTTTGTTTCAGTTTATTCTTAAAATGTCATTAAAATTTCCATGCACAGCGTGCAGTCAGTTACTTGAATGACGATTTGTTAGTTATGAAGAAAGTCAGCTATGCATAATATTTCAGTAGGATTTGGATTTATTAATTATGCAAAAGCGCACTACGTCTATCTGCTTAAGGGGTGGGATTCCTTTGTGGAGTACATTCTCAGGAACTGGTTCATATGCACATTATACTTTAGGAAAATCACGAAAATCTTCATGCAGCTTTTTTTTTTTTTTTTTTTTTTTTTTTTTTTTTTTTTTTTAGAAATAATGTATACTTGCAGTGAACCTTCTTGGTGACTATCTCCCTCTAACACGAACAGTGTTTTTGAGAATAATAAACATTGGTTTTTAATCATTACGCAAGTTCACCACATTCACTCAAGATTAAAAAGATATGGAATTATGAGTAGTCACTTTAAAAAGGATTGCTAAATTTACTTTTAGATTTATACATTTCTTATTTAGCACTTTAAACGTATTATTTAAATTTTCATATACATTTTATTCGAATATTTTGTAGTTACTTGTTGAACTTACAGTGGCCAACTTTCTAAGACAATTTTGAATGTTTTTCTTCGGTATTTCTTAATTTTCAGAATATCTTAATTTATGCGCGCCAGAAATCTGTAGCGAAATTAAATTAAATTAAAATTTTCTGATGCTGGTCGTAGTGCATGGCAGGACTTTTCGGAATTAATTCGAAACAGCTGTACATAATAACGAATTATTAAAAAAGTTAGAAAAATGCAATTATCTGAAGGCTATTCGGCGAGAATGCTTTAATGTCTGTTTCAGTACTTTCTTTGATGAATAAGACTTACGATTTCTATATAGCAATTGTGCCTTCGGGGTGTAACTGGAAGCACGCTTGGCGAGCATTCAGGAGTTTCGGATTCAAATCCCGTCGAAAGCAGTTTCTGATTTCTTCAGTTTCCTGACATTGAAAATATAAATGAATTTATTACAGTCCCTAACTACATGGATTTTCGAGACGAACTGAATTTAGAATATTACAAGAAAGGCGAATCTGCTTTATAATTTAGTGCAACTACATTAATAATGTTAAGAAAATAGGCAAGCAGTTTATTAGTTAATCTATAGGATTCATATTTATTTTAAATAACCAATTTAGTTATTTTGCGTTCTTTCCTATAAGCCTTCATTCCCCTAATTGTGAACACCAGAATATTTAAATTTGGCAGCGAGCGTGAACTAATGCAAATTCTACGTTGAGAAGAAAAAGTTTAAATACTGAGTTCTAGAAGGAAAGAGAGAGAGTTTTGGACATTCCCTGTCATCTCTGTAGCTTCTACACTGAAGTGACAAAAGTCATGGGATACCTCCTAATATTTTGCCGGTCCTCCTTTTGCCCAGCGAAGTGCAGCAACTCGACGTGGCATGGGCTCATTAAGTCGTTGGAAGTCCCCTGCAGGAATATTGAGCCATGCTGCCTCTATAGACGTCCATAATTGTGAAAGTGTTGACGGTGCAGGGTTTTGGGCACGAACTGACCTCTCGATGATGTCCCATAAATGTTCGATGGGATTCATGTCGGGCGATCTAGGTGGCCAGATCATTCGCTGGAATTGTCCAGAACGTTCTTCTAACCAATCGCGAACAATTGTGGCCCGGTGACATGTCGCATTGTCATCCATAAAAATCCCACGTTGTTTGAGTACGTGAAGTCCCTGAATGGCTGTAAGTGATCTCCAAGTAGCTGAAGGTATCCATTTCCAGTCAATGATCGGTTCAGTTGCACCAGAGGACCGAGTCTTTGCCATGTAAAAACAGCCCAGACCATTATGGAACCACCACCAGCTTGAACAGTGCCTTGTTGACAACTTGTGTCCATGGCTTCGTGAGGTCTGCGGCACACTCGAACCCTACCATCAGCTCTTACCAACTGAAATCGGGACTCATTTGACCAAGCCACAGTTTTCCATTCATTTAGGGACCAACCGATATGCTCACGAGCCCACGAGAGTCGCTGCAGGCGATGTCGTGCTGTCAGTAAAGGCACTCGAGTCGGTCTTCTGCTGGCATAGCCCAAGGAAGACAAATTTCGCCGCACTGTCCTATCGGACACGTCCCTCCTACGTCCCACATTGATTTCTGCGGTTATTTGCCGCAGTGTTGCTTGTCTGTGAACATTGACAACTCTACGCAGACGTCGCTGGTCTCGGTCGTTAAGTGGAGGTGGTCGGCCACTGCGCTGTCCATGGTGGGATGTTATGCCTGAAATTAGATACTCTCGGCACACTCTTGACACTGTGGATCTCGAAATGTTGAATTCCCTAACGATATCCGAAATGGAATGACCCATGCGTCTAGCTCCAACTACCATTCCGCGTTCAAAGTCTGGTTAATTCTCGTCGTGCGGCCATAATCATACGTCAAAGCCTCTTCACATGAATAACTTGAACACAAATGAAAGCCCTGCCAAAGCATTTCGCATTTATACATTTTCTACGCGATACTACTGCCATCTGTATATTTGCATATTG